TTGAATTATGATCTTGGTCAATAATCTACGCCTTTTTCAAATATTTCAATATTGTCAGAGCTAAGAACTTGTTGATGAAACTGCAGGTTTTGACTTATTGGCTTCTTCTTATTGTCATGACCAGGTAGATGTAACCGGAAGACACTTGAAGCATAACAAATTCCACTTCAAGTTAACAAACAGCCAAACTTTGGGAAGTAAATGTCAATTCTGATTTAAGCAAACATATCTATTTTCTCAAAATTTTACCAGCAAAGACCCATAATTTTATTGTATTTCAGTACTTAAGCGAACTTTTAAATAATTTTAGAAAAAAAATAAAGATGTGACATTTTGCTTTCATTTTTTTAATATGAAACCGGTTTAAGAACGATGCTTTGTTCCGAACATTTGTGCTAGTTGTCTACCATAAACAGAACTGCTGGAGGAAACGGCCACATAGAGCAAAAAGCTGACTAAGCATTCGGCATCAGTTTTACCAATGAATTGGCTTGATTACAAAGACAGGAATTTGAAATACCTCTGGAAAACTTCAGATCAGTCAATTGGAAGATATTTAAGTTGAGAATATGCTACACAACTCTCAATTTATAAGCTAATTACCTGGCAGGTCACCCACCACCCTATTTTCCTGTAGGGTTTGATTCTATACAGGAAGACGGATTAAGGTTTTGGACAGTAAGATGATTCTTGACGCTTTTTCTGAAGCGTTATATTTATTTATTTATATCAAATGGCAGGCGTTTTGATGGTCATCATTAGCCCTTTAGGTGACTTCAGGCTTCACAGGGGTGGAGGAACATCAAAGTGAAAAAAGTCGAGAAGGGGGGGGGGACAGAAGAGTGTTTCAAAGACGAAGGTAGAAAAGGTAGAAAAAGGTGAGGTGAGTACTGTGAAGTAGTCGAATNTTTTTATACCTTTGTGTCTGTCTCTTTTACAATACACATCAACAAGCATCTAAACATACTTTTAGCTAATTTACCGCCTTTAGGTATTAAACAACCTGATGGTCTTCACTTTTGAAAACGAAAAGTTTTAATTATTTCACAATCCCGCTCTTAGCAAATGAAAGATAAATAATAAATTATGAAAGGGTTATATCAAATGGCAGGCGTTTTGATGGTCATCATTAGCCGTGACTTCAGGCTTCACAGGGGTGGAGGAACATCAAAGTGAAAAAAGTCGAGAAGGGGGGGGGGACAGAAGAGTGTTTCAAAGACGAAGGTAGAAAAGGTAGAAAAAGGTGAGGTGAGTACTGTGAAGTAGTCGAATATGACACATAGTGGGGTGCTGGTAGTTTGAAGTGAGAAGTCAACTGCCAGTTAATAGACTTTTTTGCCGTATGAGTATACGTTGCCCAGAGTGCCTCACGTGGAGGTAAGTCTATCGCACACCCCAGCGTAATATAGTGGTAGATTAACATGATTTCCACACTTCGACTTGACTTTA